GATGCCCAAAGTCGAAGTGGGCTGAGAGGGAGATAGAGCAGCCATCGCTGCTTCTAGTTAGTGTTAGAAGGCGGCCATAACTACCACAGCTAGCGAAAGTCAACAGACAAGGAGTACGTGGGATGTTCAACGAGGTCGAGAGTGAGTGTTGTGAATACAGTGTCAGACAGGTGATGTGTAGGAGCTGAGGCATCGTAGCCAATTGAAGCGAGTTTGTATCTAAACAGTGTTCTCGGCCTTAATATCTCTGAGCTTTGAGTGGGAGCCTGGCGCCAGTGTAGATTGCCACTTGTCTACATGCATGTTGAATGAAGAAAAAAACGAGTTTGATTGCAAACTCAACAAAAAGATAAATAAGGGCATAAATTAACGCTGAACCAAAAACAGAAGCTGCATCAGGCAGAAAAACGTGCCTGGAAACGGCTGTGGGCCTCCAGGTTGCACAGCCAAATAATGGTGTGCGGACTGGGGGCCTCTAACAACCGTCGGGCCCTAAGAAAAAGGGCCCGCCTACAGACCTCGGTATGCTACGTATACTTTGTTCACTTCATACGACATTCAACTTGTCTTTTGTATGTTCTCTTGATGATGCTCATTCATATGCATTTACTAGTGGTACACATACTGCACAAGAGGAGGGTGGAATGACCTGACCAGACACGGACGGAGACACACAGCTGATTTCCGAGTCTTGCTCATGGGCTGAATGCCTTGCTGAGTTTCCCACTTGTTACTGAGTTCTCATTGTCGGTGTGCAAGTTTGGTGACACACTGGTTGGAGCACTGGCTGGAGCAGCGCTAGCACTCAGCTGCGCTGCTGGGGAAGGAGCAAGGATACGGAGAAGGAAGAAGATCAGGACTAGGAGGAGGAGCGTCAGAGGTACTTACCTGGCTATGGTGGATCCCATCTTTGTCACCTTGGTGGGCGCCGCAGCAGGAAGGCCAGTTGGGGAACAGCTAGAGGCAGAGTCAGGCATGGTGTCGTGAGCTAGAGCAGCTGCTTTGTGTTCTCCTTTGGACAACAGGGTGATGCCCTAGTAGTCTGCCATAGCCTCTGCCTGTGAGGAAGAGGGAGAGAGAGAGGCAGCCATGGCTATGATGGACCTCAAGTAATACGTGCAGTAGAAGAGGGACTTGGACATTGATTCTAGATCAGCCATTCATCATTGTTACTATTATTCTTGTTTGAATAAAAGAGAAGATAAGGAGGAGAGTGGTGGCGAAGAAGAAGAGCATTATCATTGGTCTATGCTGGTGCACATTGTCTTCTTCTTCTTTCTTATTTCTTCTTCTTCTTCTTTCCCTCTCTCTCCTCCCAAGTTCATTCATTTCTTTTTGCAAGTGGACAGCATTGGACTTTTTGATGAATGTGTACTTCGAAATTGGCCAGGATCATAAAATTGGTATCAACGCGGAATCTACTTGTTGGTGAGTGTTGACTTTGTTGCCCTAACCCTAACCTAAGTGGTTGAGGGCAACGCTTAGGGTTAGGGTTGGTTGTAAGGGAAGTGGGGCAGCATGGCTAAGGGAAGCTGCCCCCACCAGATTAAGTCGTGTGGGGTCGACATTGGACATAAGTAGGTTGCTTGAGAGTGAGATTGAGGTGGCGAGACATTTTGTGGAGACTTCATGCGACAGCTTGAGAGAGGCGACACTTGCATCTAGAATCTGATTCAAGGGAGACACTTGGCAACTTAAGGGCTGCCCTCAAGTAGGCTACGGACTGCAAGTTGCTACTTTGTTCTTCAGCATCGACTGTGTATCCGGCGTTGCACTTTGGTGTTGGAGTCAGACCCTCCTAGGAGATAGGACACTAGTGTAGGGGTAGCGTTAGAGGGGTCAGGAGGATCACATGAGAGGGGGGTGAATTCTATTCATCTTGAAGCTCAAGGCCACTCAGGTAAGTGTCGTGCACCTACGGGATGCCCATGTATGTGTGCATGGAATGGATTGTCCTGTTCGGGTTACTCTTTCTTTTCCTACTCTGTGGTCTTGATTGTGTGATTGAATGTGTGTGATCTACCTACTCACCTGATGGATGGAGAAACGAAGTATCTTGATTTGAATGCCGATTCTTTCTACAGTGCTTTGTCTTTTCATCTTTGAACGGTTGTAGTCTGTAGGTTCTGCCGGAAGTTGAAATTTCGTTTTCCGGTGCGGTAGAAACGAAACGGAGTCCATGTGGGACTCCTCTTGGTTGGGACCTGGTCGCGGCCTATAAGGGACCTCTGGGACCCAGTGGGACCGGGCCCAAACAAGAAGAGCCCTTTGGACCCAAATTTGTTAGGCATTAGTCCATTGTCTTCCTGACTGAGATACGAAGTTCATTCTTCTTGGATTAGGACACCCACTGCCAAGGGGATCTCGGCTGAGATGTTTCGAATGCTTTTGGTTGCACCATCCATGGCTTGACTCGCACGATGTACACCACTCAATTCTCCATTGTTGCATTTAGTCACTCGTTGTCTGATTTGTTGCACGATCACAAAGCTGGTCAGACAGGACTCGAGAGGACCTCGTATGCAGTCTGATCAGACTGGGTCGCTGGATCAAACCTCTCATGCGAATTTGTTTGCTTTGGTTTGCTGCTCTCTAAGTCCAAATGAAATGCCGCTCCGGCTAGGAGTTCTACCTTCTCTTCTCTGAGCTTTTCAATTTGTTAATCTGAGTTCATTTTCGATGCCCGTGGAGACTCGCAACCAAAAAGAAGAAAGGGAGAGGAGGGAGAGAGAAAAGGAAGACAGGGAAAGTGACCGTCTTGGGTGGGCAAGGACTGGGAAATGGAGTGTTCGTCCAAGCGAAAAGGGGAGTGTACCTCTTGAGAGTCTGATTGATTCTTTTGCTGATTGGCATCTCTCCGATCCACCTGCCGACGATGACGGTCCAAAAATGGCTCAGCCACGGCTAAACTCAGTCCAGTGGAAGGGCCTGTTAGATGCAGCCAGCGATGCAAAGAAACCGTATCTGCAAGCACTCCTAGATAGCGCCATCAAAACGGAACAGGAGACAGAGAAGGAGAGGAAGGAATTTCTGCTGAAAAGTCAGGAGGCCATCTTGGAAACTGTCCCCTCACTGACCAAAAAGCAGTGTGGGGAATAGTTGCAGTCCATACTCACCACTATCGTCAAAGTCCGGAGCCTTGAAGATCATACCACTCAGATCGCCGACGTCTTCGCAAAATTGCGGACACTTCAGGAGGATCTGACTGAGATGACCGGCAAGTACTGTGACTTGATGGTAGAGGTTGTTGCGCTGCAACAAGCCCAAACGCCCAATTCTCTCCCTCTGCCTGCTGGTTCCGGAGCTGCAATTGTAACTAACCTTGCCCCTCCTACCATATTTTCTTCTACTTCTTCCTAGAGTGTGACGGCAAACCCCTCGGAACCTGCAACAAGTGCAGATTCCGCTGTTGCTATAACAAGCAACAAGGCAGGAAATTATGCAACTGTTGCAGCCCCAAGAACTGAACCAGCAGGTGCTGGTCCCAGCTACGCCGGTCCCTTTGTGGATCATAAGGCGGTGCAAATATCGTCTAAGTATGACAGCAAAGAAAACGTTGAATCCTAGATCAGCTCCATGAGGGCAAACTTTGAGGTTTTGGGGACTCAACCTGAAACCCAGTCCGTGATCATGGGAATCAATGTCAAGCCTGTTGCACGAGGCTTCCTAGAAGTCCAAGCTACGCAAGTTGGGGTTCCAAAGATAGAACTAACAAGGTGGCTTAGGGCCACCCCGATTGCCTCCCTCGAGGAACTCCTCATTGCACAATACATGGATCCACACGCTACAGCGAGGGCAAGAAGCCAGCTTGACAAAATCAAACGCAGCAAGTGGACGGGCTCCATGAAAAGCCTCCAAACTTACCTCAGCAAGATATTTGCTACACCCCGATTAGAACTAACTGATCAATCTTGCTTGGATGTGGTCAAAGGCGCAGTTCCCACCAATTTCACAAATCGCCTAGGCAGGGACTACATTGGGTACACTGACTGGTTCACTCTAATAAAGGACATAGTCAGTCTCGAGGCGATAGACCTTGTCTCCACAGCAAGCAGCAAAAAGCTCATGGGCGGCACGCGGTTCTACGGCAGCAGCCGTTTTGTTGTGCACGCCTGTTGGAGGCTGAAGAGGAGGCAGATGCAGATGACCCCACTTTTGGTGACGACCAAGAACAGGACACTGATACAACCTGTTCGTCAGCCCATGAGTCTGATGTAAACCAAGAAGAGGAAAAAATTACTTCCTTTAAAAAGACTGCCAATGCAAAGGGACCGAATCGGAATGCGGGAAGAGTTAGGTCCAACTTCCCAAGGGAGTCAAAATCCCAGCAAAACCAGAGGATGCGGCCAGTAAACCGTGGGTCGACCTCGAGATCACTGAAAATGACTGGTGGGGTAGACTCAAGAAGGGGGTAAGCCTGCATTGCCAGAAACCAAACCATAGGATGCAAGATTGCTATATGCTGCAGGGAAACCAGAATCGGGCGTAGAGTCAACTTTAGCATCCTCTACAGCAAGGGAGACTGAATCAGATGCAAATCAGCAGTCCTCCCTTGAAGCCCAATCATCTGTTGACGCCAAGGTTGAAGTGTGTAATGTTTTGTATGTCAAGCCTTAGGAGGAGTCTGGGACGATCGACTTCCACTACCACTTGGAGCATTGGGCTGAGATGAAACAGCAACGTGCCCAAGGGACAGTGAAGTTGATCTTCTTCAAACTTCTCATAAACCACTGTCATCTCCATGTCTTGATCGACTGTAGTGCTACGGCTAATTTTATATCACCTCATGGGATACGCAAAGTGGGTTTGGGAATGAAGCAAGTGGCCTTGCAGAACCCTTGTCGGACCCAAGTTGGCAACAAAGAAGTTGTCTCTTCTACACATGCAGCCAAAGGGTGCGCACTACCTTTGGCAAGGGTAAAACTGTCACCCACGCGTTGAACTTCTATGTCCTTGACAAGTGCCCCTTCGACGTTGTCCTTGGCTTGGGCTGGCTGCAGTCCCAATGCAAATGGACCAAGTGTAAGGAGTCACTTTTCATGGTCAAAGATGCTCAAGGGAACGAGCTTCCCATCCTCTTGGATGAGAAGCACGAGTCCCCAGTGACTTTTATGAATGCTATAAAGGTATGCAAGAAATGGTGCAAGCACAAAGAGGACGAGCAATTGTATGTTGCCTTTGTTCGTCCTACCCAAGTGCCATCTACTTTTGCGGTTAATACCACAACTACTTCGGCTAGTGATTCTACTTCTAGTACTTCTACTTCTAGCACTCTACCTTCTACTAGTCCAAATGATCCTACTTCAAATCCGATTGCCTCTATTCGCGACCTGCGATCTGACCTAGGTGATCCCTTTGTTGATCCTCCACACCCACCGGTTCCACCAAACATCCAAAACCTACTCGATCGGTTCCCAGAAGTTCAGAGCCACGTGGGGTCCCCACTCGATCGATCTGACACACCATTGAGCTGGTCGAGGGTGTTGTGTATACCGAATGGCACCCGGCGAGTTGGAGGAACTCTAACGACAGATTGACGAAATGATTGACAAAGGGTGGATTAAGCCTAGTGAGTCTGAATTTCATACTCTTGTTTTGTTTGTTCCAAAGAAAGAAGGCAAGCTTCACATGTGTATTGACTATCCCGGTCTAAACCGCATCACAAGAAAGAACGTCTATCCATTGCCCCGCATAGATGACTTGCTTGATGTCACAGGTGGGTGCAAGGTCTTTTCCAAGATCGATCTCAAGTCTGGCTACCACCAGATTGAATTCGATCCTGCGGACCAGCACAAGACTGCGTTCAAAACACGCGATGGGCTTTAGGAGTTTATCGTAATGCCCTTCGGTCTCACGAACGCACCAGCCACCTTCCAAAGCCTCATGGACAAGGTCCTCCGCGAACAAATTGGCCGGTCCGTGGTGGTATACCTCGATGATATACTAATCTTCAACAAATCTATGTAGGAACACCTCAAGCACCTCAAGGAAGTGCTCACTATCCTCAAGAAGACACAACGCCATCTCAACCTAGAGAAATCTGAGTTTGGGAAGGATAGCGTCATCTATCTTGGGCATCGGTTGTCTGTTGTAGGCCTAGAGCCTGAGGCAACCAAGGTTGAAGTCATACGCAATGGCCTCAGCCCGCGAACATCCGCGAACTCCGCTCTTTCCTTGGTCTCGCGTCATACTACCGAAAGTTTGTGCCCCGCTTCTCTATTGTCGCTCGCCCGTTGTCTCGGTTAACAAGTAAGAATGTTCCCTACTCTTGGGACACCGCATGCAAGAACGCCTTTTGAGCTTTGAAAGAAGCCTTGGTAAGTTACCCAGTACTCCGCATTGCAGATTCCAGTTACTACGGATGCAAGTCAGTATGGAATCGGCGCAGTGTTGCAGCAAGATGGCGACGATGGCTTGCGCCGCTTGAATATTACAACAGACGCATGCCCAGCGAAAAGGTAGCCACTTCCACCTACATGCGCGGGCTCTATGCTTTGCGTATGGCTTTGGACCATTGGAAGCACGATCTTTTGGGACGCCACTTCAAAGTGTTCTCAGATCACGAGACTCTGAAGTGGATTAAAGAGCAAACTACCCTGTCCCCTACGTCACTTCGCTGGTTCACATCTACGACTTCGAACTAAGGCACAAAAAGGGTTGTTATAACCGAGTAGTTCATGCTTTGTGACTTGCCTTGTGAAATCCTACGACCTCCGGAAGAAACTGAGGGAGGAGCTCGTAGAGCATACAGCCAAGGATCTGGAACTTAGTCCCATCCTTGAGCGGTTGCGGGCTGATCCTAGCAGTCAGCCCGATTTTCACGAGTATGGAGGACTGATTTTCCGTTGCTACGGGAACCACGACCGTTTGTGTGTGCCCAAACATGAGCCTCTCCACACGCACTTTCCGGATTTTGCTCATGGTCGGAGTGGACACTTCGGCATGGCAAAGACATACGCAAATCTCCTGAGACAGTTTGATTGGCCTGGCATGAAAGGGACTGTTGATAAGTTTGTGGCTGAATGTCAAGTCTATCAACGAATCAAACCATGCAGACAAAAGCCCATGGGGCTACTTACACCCCTTCCCATTCCCGATGGTCCCGGGGAGTCCGTCTCCATCGACTTCACCCACATGGGAAAGGTAAGTAAGAACGGCTACTCACAAGTCATGGTGATTGTTGACAGATTCTCGAGGTTCCTTAATCTGATTCCTTTGCCACCTCACGCTCCAACATAATTAGTGATCCGTGAGTTCCAACAGAAGTACATTCTGCAGTTCGGAATCCCGAAGACTCTTGTGAGCGATCGGGATCCGCGCTTCATTAGTACTGAATGGAAGGATTTCACGTCCCAACTAGGGATCAGGCTGTGTATGACATATGGCCGACACCCCGAAGCCAATGATTTGGCTGAGGAAATCAACCAGATTGTGTTTCAACTTCTCCGCACCTTGATTATTCGGGATCAGGAAACATGGGATGAAGAGTTGTATTTCGTTAAGGGGTTGTACAACAACTCCCTCCATTCTGCCACCGGCATGACGCCCAACAGGTTGCATTACGGTTGGCAGATCCGTAATCCGCTCTCCTACCTATTCCCTGAGCAGCCAGCTGGCTTAACACCCGGCAGGCCTGGCTTCAGGGCCAAGTATGATCGCTTGCTCGAGGTTGCCATTGCAGCAATGACCAAGCGACAGCACGCCATGATCTATCATGCAAACAAGAGGCGCCGACCGTCGTATATTCAAGTAGGAAGCTATGTCTGGGTCAAGATGTCTGAATTTTCAAAAAAAGAGGGAGTCTCTCGCAAACTTCTCCCACTCGACTATGGTCCGTGGGAAGTTTTGGATGTGATTGGCGAAGATCACTTTGGACCTTCGTATGTAGTTGATGTGCCAGCCCATCTGCGCAAATACCCCATGTTCCACGCATCAAAATTGTACCTCCACCGTGACGCTAAGACGTTCGATTATCGTGAAGACATGATCCCTCGTGCAATCAAAGGTGGTCATGAGATAGACATAATTAAACAGCACGTAGGGAAGGGACGCAACAGACAGTACCAGGTTCATGTATCACCCGTTGGACGATCTGTACTAGATTTCCAAGCAGGAACTGCTACGCAGCGCACCACGGGTTGTTAAAGTCTACAAGCGACAAATCGCAGCTAACGCTACTCCTAAGATCTCTGCAAGGCTCACTGTGACGGAGTATTCTAGGAACCTCTTTGCCTTTCTTGCTTACGATGCGTTTGTCGAGGACTCAGAATGAGTTACTCGCTCGAAGGGACCTCGCTCTTAGGGGGGGGGAGGTGTGATGACCCGTCCAAACATGGACTGAAACACGTGGCTGATTTCTTAGTTTTGCCCATAGATTGAATGCCTTGCTGAGTTTCCCGCTTGCTACTAAGTCTCTGTGTGTACGGTTGTTGGACTGCATGTCTATCTGAGTGCTGGTTGGCTTGAGTGTGTGTGTGTGGCCATGCCTGTCTGAGTGCTGATTGGCTTGAGTGTGTGTGTGTGGCCATGCCTGTCTGAGTGCTGGTTGGCTTGAGTGTGTGTGTGGCCCTCAAGAGCACTTGCTCATTCACTGGGCCCTCAGGGCCGGTACTTACCTGTGGTCGTGACATTGAGAGCTTGCAGCGGGAAAAACACTAAGTAGCGGGTAGGCCGATACCGCACCTTGAAGAGGTAGATGTGCAGGCAGAAGAAGACAAAAGTGGCATTTTTAGAGGCCCAGTAGTTGTACGTTAGGTCTAGGCGGATAACAGTCCAACCAGTCTGGGTCTAGGGCTTGTAGGGGCAATATCAGAGTGTGCAATGATGTTTCCCTCCGAAAGGGAGGAGGTACCGGTTGCTTGGAAGGCCGAGCGGCCTGGAAGTCACCGCCCGAAGAGGCAAGCAGGCCACTATATCTCCCAGTCGGGCGAAGAGCCCGGCCTCATTCTCGGTGTGCAAGTTTGGCGACACACTGGTTGGAGCCCCGGTTGGAGCAGAGCCCGACCTCATTCTCGGTGTGCAAGTTTGGCGACACACTGGTTGGAGCGCCGGTTGGAGCAGCGCTATCCAGGAGCAGTGCTGTTGGGGGAAGGAGAAGGACACGGAGGAGGAAGGACAGGAAGGGGGAGGAGCGTCAGGGGTACTTACCTGGCTATGGTGTCAGCCATCTTCATCACCTTGGTGGGCGCTGCAGCAGGGAGTCCCCAACTGGGGAGAGCTACACCAAGAAACTTTGAGGCAGGATCGGGCATGGCGGCCTGAGCTAGAGCAGCCATAGCTGCTTTGGGTTGTCCTTTGGGCATCTGGGCAAGACCTAGTAGTCCGCCATAGCCTCGACCTATGAGAGTGAAGAGTGGGAGAGGCGGCCATGGCTATGGTGGACCTCGAGTGATACCTGCAGTAGAAGAGGGAATCGGACACTGGTTCTGGATCAGCCATTCAACATTGTATTATTATTTCTTGTATGAATAAGAGAAGGGGGAGATAAGGAGGAGGAGATTGTTGGGCGAAGAAGAAGAGCCTTGTCATCTGTCTATGCTGGTGTACATCATCTTCTTCTTCTT